GGACGTCTCTCAGGTGAAGCAGTACGTGATCAGGCAGTTCGACAAGGTCTTCACGCGACGCGTGTCCATCCTGGATCTGACGTTCGCGAAAGAGTTTCGCGGAATGCGCGGATACAAGGCCAACGCTTGCGTGCCCGCGTTGGAGCTGACGCGCCGACTGATCAGGAAGGATCCCCGCGCCGTGCCGCGCACCAGCGAGCGCGTGTCATCGTCGCGGGTGCACCGAATCAGGCGCTCATCCAGTGCGTGCGCACGCCGATGGAAGTTGTCGCCGATCCGTCATTAATTCCAAATTCCATGTATTACATAACGAAAGTCAACATACCACCCCTCAATCGGTGCTTCAATTTATTCGGGATCGACGCCAATGTGTGGTAAGTACGCGAAAATCACGGAGGAAATTACGGAATATTTAAACGACACATTCATGAGTCGCGTTTCCATGATAATCCTTATTCGCGTTTATATAAATTAGTATGTATTTAATAATTAATATTATGTATTTACATAATCGCAGAGTTGGATAAGTCAGTATATTTTTTTCAACTTAGAATAAAGTTAACAGCTTATAAAATTAATTTATTAACGTTGAAAGTTGCATAAACAAAAGGGTAACTTAGTTAAAGTTGAAGTAAGAGTTAAATTAACTAAAGTTTTTATTTAAAAAATTTTTATTTAAATTAAATTAGAATGTAATTTTTAAAAAATTAAAAGATTTCTTTAAATCTCTATTTTAAAATTAATCAGCTTTTTAATTTTTTTTATTTTACTTTTAAATAATAAACTAATTATTTTATTCAAACTCTGCATAATCGTAACGCTCGTGATTATCAAGTTACAATTATGAAGATAATGGGACATTTATATGTTTACAGGTATAAAGAAATCTCCCATCGTTCCAATTTCGACCACATTGCACACTTGGCAGGTGACAATCCAAAGTCTACGATTCGTCAGTTCGAAGGTTCCGCGGCGTGCATCACCTGTGGGGAACAGACCAATAAAGAGATTTGTCCAGATTGTCTTTCGCAAGCCGGACCATTCTCGTGCTCCTCGAGAAGATAAAACAGTTGGAAAGAAATCATCAGCAGATTACTGCTGTAAGCATTAAACACGGAGACACGTGTGTCCAGTGTCATTAAACGTAAATTTATGTTAAGCATCCTTAAGCTGTAAATTGCGATCGATCAATAATCATTATTTAATAATAAATTTTTTTTTAGATTTGCCATTCCTGTATTGGACGATTGGGTGACATAAAATGCGTGTCTTTGGACTGTCCGATTTTATATCAACTAGCACAAGCTTGCAAGGAGCTCGCGCAGGTTTCCCACATCAATAGTGCTATTTACGGAAATAATTCCAGCGGAATTAAGGAATTAAATGCAGTTGCTGAATGGTATTAATTACAATGAAAATAAGTTCTTCATTTGATACAGTATAAAAGAAAATTTAATGTTCTAATTTTATTTTAAATTATATTTTTATAAAATAATATCATTAATATTGTTACTAAATAAAACTCAAGACGGGCCGCGAATCTACCTAAGTCGATTAAGCGGCGAGCTGAGAACAGCCCGGCGTGACGTTGAAAATGACGTCGATGAAGAACTCCTCTGCCGATCCTTCCCTGAAAAAAAAAAATATAAATTTTATTAGTTTTAGTTCAACAGCGAAAGAAAATAATTCTGAGATAAGAATTTACATAAACTAAAAATTTTCTAAATGTCTAAAATATTAAATATTCATATAATTTTATAATTCATTTTCAAATGCAAGGGAAAAATTGGACATTTACTTGTTTTTAATTTTCTCGCTAGTTTTTACTGTCGAAACCGACTTCTTTGGCCTCATAACGTTTCGGGTTTTCTCGAGCATGGAGGATGGTGCGTCGTCTTTCTCGGATTGCACTTTGGGCGTAATTGTGGTGCTGTAATGCGGCTCCTCGAAACTTGCATAGTACCCAAGACCAAGGCCAGATCGTTCTCGTACGGAGAAAGAGCAGGTGTCTGGGGAGGGCCTACCAATTTCGCACTGCCACTCCATGATGTACGTGGTGACTCCACGTCATTTGGATCTATATTAACAAAAAAAAATAAAATAAAATAAATTAATAAAGAAATAAATTAAGGAATAAATAAAAAAAATTTAATGTTAATTTTACAAAAAAATACAAATATAATTATAAAGATTTATGAAATTATTTACCGATTGCTCTAAAGAATCTCGCAAGATTCCTCGACAGCTCCCATCGACTTTGCTCTAGCCGCTCTAGCGCGGCGTCCAACAGTAACGTAGCGTACTGTCGGCTGACAGAGGATGGCTCTAAATTCTGTAGAATAATTAGATAATTGGCGGCGATGTCGAATTGCTGACGCTGCAGACAATCTTGCAGTAGCTTCTTCGGCGGACCGGCGACGGAGAACAGATACGGCCAGAGCGCGATCTCGGTCTTGCGAGCGCATTGCACGACGGTTCTGGCCCAAACACTGGGAAACTCGCGGATAAACTCCACGACGGACGGTAACTGAGCATCCGGAATTGGGTCCTTGCTCGTCGTTTCCTCCTCGAAGACCTCGTGAAGCAACAGTTCCAACGAATGCGGGAAGTACGGCAATGCGGAGCACGAACGCGCTATTTCCCACGCGTGATAATCCAAGTTCCGATGTATCAATTAACGTATCTAAAGCAGATATACTTGACTCTGAAATACAAAAAAAAACATTTAAATTACATAACCAGAAAAAATTTTAAATAACGTTTTTATATTATTTTATATTTAGAAAAAAATAAAATACCTGTAAGCTTCAATAAATTGAAGGGCAGTGAAAAGGGCGAGTTGGTATCCGAGGTGAATAGTACCGTATCATTCTCGGCTCCCAGTAGTTGCACTGCATTTATCTTACCTTGCTCGCAGATGTTGAGGACCCGCGGCCGTCGTTTAAGGCGAGAGATATAGGCGCGTTAACGAAATGAATTGAAACAAAAACTTATTGATAACAAAAATATCGATATATATATACAATTTTTCTATTGCAAATTTTTATTTTAATTAATACATCAACTGCACACGTTAGGTATTTCTAATATATATAATATATGTTCTAAGGGTATTTCAGGCATTCACGAACGCAGTACAAAGAGAAATCTCATACTACTGAAGCAAATTATCATACTAATGAAGCAAATTAATTGTCAGTCATGGCAGTAGTATGAGATTTCTCTTTATACTGTGTTCGTGCCATTCGTCAGATAGTTATATAATTCTATAATTTTATATAAGTTTATTATTGTCGAGTGTTTTAATTAATCGTGTTGCCCTTCACTGTTGTCCATCACTGTCTGCAGTTAATGTTCTTGCTGTATTTGTATCCTGCAAAGTGGAATTCAGCCGCATAACATAGGGGATTACCTTCCGGCGATAGACCTTTTTGAATTTTGGCATTTTCTTCATCATTATTACTTGAACGTGTTCTGTAAAAAATTCAGGAATTAATTAGTTCAATACAAATTTTTATTAATCGTAAATTATATTTAAGAATATAATTTATGATTAATAAAAATTTGTATTAAACTAATTATAATTATATTCTAATAATATTATATTCTTCTCTCGAATAAATTATATTCTTAAATATAATTTACGATTAATAAAAATTTGTATTAAACTAATTAATTTCTGAATTTTTTACAGAACACGTTCAAGTAATAATGATGAAGAAAATGCCAAAATTCAAAAAAGTCTATAACTGCAGACAATGATTTTCCTGAATTTTTTGCAGAACATATTTACGGTGAATTATTTTTTCTTTTATTTGCATGTTGTGTTTTCCATACTTTTATTATTATTCAGTCGTAGAAGATACTAATTGAGCGTCCAACAAAGCATCATTTTCATCATCTATACTTAATTCATTTCTTGACGAATTGTTTGTTCTAAATTTAAGGAATAAAGGTATATTATTAAAATTTATTTCGTATAATAAAAAAATTTGTTATTAAATATATCACTCATACTTACTTTTTATAACTGATTTTTTCAAAAGTATTAATTGCTGCTTGAGATCGGAA